ATCTTCTTTTATGGTCCCCAGAAGAGAGTTTTTAATATAATTCTCAGATATTTCTTATGAAATTTATTTGTGTATTTTGTTTGATTTTGCTGTCATGGAATATTTCCCCTACTTATTTCTATTTATTGTTGGTAACTAGAATAGATTTTGGTATTTACTTTGTTACTAGCCTCTTTACTAAACTCCTTTTTATTTCTAACAGTTTCTCAGTAGATTTTCTTGGATTTTTTATGTATGTAATGATGGCATTTGCCCCAAACAAACAAGAGAAAGAATTGTGTGTCAGCATTTTTAACAATTATATCTTTTATTCCTTTTTGTTGTTGTTGTTTTGGCCATATTACATTAACAAGAACTTCTAGATCAAACTTAAATAGTCGTGATTCTCATCCTGATAACCCATAATGAAAAGGGAACACTTGACTGAGCTGAGGAAACAAACCATGAGGAATCTGGGTAAAGAGATTTCCAGGCAGAGAAAACAGAGAAGGTACAAAGGCCTTAAAGAAAGAGTGTGCCTAATGTGTCCCAGGAACAACGAGGAGGCCCTGTCTGTGGGGATGGAAGGTCAAGTGAGGCAGAGACTGGTTGGAGATGGGAATGAGAGGGTGCAGATCCTAGAAAACCGTAGGAACCATTGTAATGCAAGTGTTTCCTAATATTGAAACTTCCTTGCTTACCATATTAGGATTACTATGTCAAAGTCAGTTATTCTTTAAGCATTTCATCTGTGGTTTAGAAAAGTATTTATAAAAATAGATCTATTTTTAAAAAATCTTAACATCTCTTATCAATCAATACAGTATTCACTGGCATACTCCAGTGTTTAAAATGTCTTTTTATCATAATTGTAACAACCACATTATTTTCCCTGATTGTTATGATTTTAGGATGGTGAACATAACTCTTTGTTTTTTTATGTAAAGTTGCCTATTATGCTATTGGGCAGAGCATTTAATCAGCAAAATGTCAGTTCCTCAAGGCTGAGGTTATTTTTAACAGCAGCAACCATAACAAAGAGTAGCTAGCTCTGTACTTTGTGTACTTGGACCCAAACATTAATTTAAAATCCTCAGTCATTTTCAGTTTTTAAGTTCTTCTGGTAGAAAAATACCTAAAGGCACCCAGGCAGCAAGAGTAGTGAAAAGTCACAAATCATGCCTTTGCTGAAAACTGACCTAGTTGACCAGATAAGTCAGCTCACTGGGAAAAGTATAAGCTCCATTAAAAAAATCAAATATCCCAGGAGGAATAAAACAGGGAAAGGAAAAAACAATCTTTATTGCTGAGAGAAGCAGAATTAACCAGGGAGTTGGCACTACTATAAATTAAAATTTTCCAAAGCAGCAATATTTTCTGACAAAGCTTGGCTATTTGATTCTAGAATTCTACTTTTAAGGATATATGCAAATATATTTTTTCTTTGTTTCTAGTCAGAGGACAGGGAGAGATGAGAAAGAAAAATTTGTATTACTGCCATTAGGGACTTCCCACCCTTTTCTTTATATTGTTCATAGCCTCTTGGGATCTTTGAATAACTCAGGAGACAGAGTTAATAGTTTTTAAAGTTTTTATTTATCATAAAGTAAATAATTCAAGCTACCATGGATATAAGATAGAACCTCAATTCAAACCTGGTGAGAGAGATGTTTAGAAATATTTTTTATGTCATGATTTCATATCTCATGTAGTATCTTCCCAACTCTGATTCCCACTCATCACCTTTGTAACAGAAGAGAGATGAGAGAGATTTCTGATGATTATTCATCTTTCAATCTCATCAGTATGTTCAAGGTTATATTTGGAATATTTACTTAAATTTTACACAGTAGTAGGTCTGGTTTTCAAACCACAGGAGCAGAAAAATAACTTAAGAAATTAGTTGGGACAACAGAAAGAACAAAAGGAACAACCCAAAGCATTCTATATATAGTTAGCTATGAAAGCTATTCTGTTTCTGAAGAGCTAATAACTTAACACTTGGCAGAAAGGAACTGGACAAATCCAAAAGTTTTTATCCCTTTAGTTCCATCAAAATATGAAGATTCTATATTAGTAATACTAGGCCTCATTTACCTTCTACAATCTTAATCTACTGATGTCTTCAACAATGTGATGAATCAGCAGATTCTAGGCATCTATTCTTGTTCTCCCTGACTATAGCTTTCCCAAACTCCTGTCCTTTTCTCTATCATGCTATTTTCCCCTACATGCCAAGGCTTTCTTGTATTACATTTTTTTTTATCATAGATCCTAAGTAAATTTGAAAATTAGTGTATAACTATAACTTTCTGCAGTTGTTGACTCTCTGGGACTTTTTAGATCTTGATTAAAAGAGGAAAGTACGGACCAGGTTTCATGGCTGATGTCTGTTAATATTAGCATTTGAGAGGCTGAGGCAGGAGAATCAATTGCTTGAGACCAGGAATTAGATAGATAGACACCAGCCTGAGCAACATAGTGAGAACCTGATCTCTATGAACATAAGAAAAAAAATTAGCCAGGTGTAGTGGCATTCACCTGTAGTCCCTGCTAGTAGGAAGGCCAAAGGAAGGTGGATCACTTGAGCCCAGGAGTTTGAGGTTACAGTGAGCTATGATGATGCCACTGTACTCTAGCCTGGGCAACAGAGCTAGACTTTGTCTCAAAAAAAAAAAAAAAAAAAGGAAAATATGGAAATATAAGATATAAAGCCAAAAGATAAGGTAGGAAATGAGAATTGAAGAAGAGAGAGTCAAAATAATAAAAATAAGCAGAGAAGACCTCAAAATGGATAATTTGCATGGAATTTTACAAAGAGGCAGATTATAGATATACTCTTTTTATAAATCTTTAGAACAGCTGTCTACTTTTTAGTTTTTGGTATATAGTTTTCAATTTTTAGGTTATGGTAAAATATTCCAGTTAAGTGCCAATATGTCACATAGCTCTTTTTAATATTTGTTATTCTCCCATTTAAGAAAAAGGACATGGCTCAGTGGTAATTTCAGCCCTTAGATTTTGTTAGCTGAGACAGAGAACCTTAATTTCTGAGTCCTTAACATAAAACTTTTCTGAATTTGAATAATAAATTTGCTTAAGGCTAATTTAAACCTTTCTTAGTTTGATAAGTAATATTATCTTCACTTTTGGGTTTTGACTTGGATCTTTTTACAACAGATAAATGGTAGAAACAGAATTCAGGAATTCTGATTCTGATGGGCATAGTACTTGAAACATCTTCACAGATTAAACCAGAGTTTATGCAGCCCAATATTTGGTCTCTAGAGCATTTTTGTTAGTATTCCTGATTACTGTCCATAGTAGCAACTCTCAGAATTAGGTATTTACTACAAGCAACCTTCTCAGTAAGCTGTGATGGATCCAGTATATGATAATTTTTCCAAATGTGTTTTAAATTTATATGCTTTCCACTTACACTATTATCAGAGACTGAAGTCCCTTTTTAGCTCCAGAATTACCTTTTCATTACTTTGAAATAGTTCTGATATTTCCAGGGTAACATCATGATTTAAAAGAAAGGAAGTCAGAAGAACCAGGTTTTAGTCCTGGGGTTGCTCCTATTATATTAATAGTTATATAACTTTTGTTAAGCTATTTGACTTCTATGGACTTCATTTTATTCTTATTAATACAAGCAATACTGAATAGCCCTGAAGTATTTTCTTATTCTAAATAACTGCGGCATAATTCATGATCATACTCTTGTTTGCCCTTGTTATCAATTTCTATATGATTTTATAGATTTGGGCATATGTTTTCTAATTTCTGACTTCTCGGACAGTAAAATACTAACTTCCCTATTCTTCCTTTCCCCAACTTTTAAAAATTATTTCAATTCCTTTGGTCATGTAAATTGTACCTCTCTGATCTTTCTCTATTGTTGTCTTTCTTAAAACAGGGTTAATGAGAACAGCATCAAGTACTAACTAAAGGTGTGGGTAGATAGTCCATGATCTTATAAAAATGTAAGATCACATTTTCTGTTTTATTTTAGCTACTTTTTTTTAATGCCAATATTTCTAGGACTTTTTAGCTATAATATTTCAAACTGTCTTTTAAGGCAACCCTTTGCCTCTGGACTAGACTATATCTAAACTCTTTACTATTCAATATCTTCTGGGACAGAAATTTCACAACCTGTCTCTCACCTTGAGGAAGTTTCTTATAACTAACATAAATCTTGCTTTCTGCAATTTAACTTGAATTTATATCCTTTTTCTTTTCTCTGCAGAGATGGGAACAGCCCCAAACTGGAAGTGATGCTTTCTTATGATCTCCAATACTAAACACAGTAGAAAGATTACAGTATTTCCAGTCCAGCATCATTTTTAGTTTGTATATATTAAGCTTTCTGACTTTTGTTTCAATATTCATGTCTCAGGAGATGCTATTCTTTAAGATCCAAATGAAATAACAGTTACATGTCTAATATTAATGTTTATTATATATTTTGCTATTTAGAACCAAATAAGGTACAAAATTTAAAAAAAATGAATTCTCAAACCCCATCTCAGTTTTATTTGATATAAGTGTAGTCATGGGACTAGGGTTTTGCCTATACTTTGTAGATTTTGTCTCATTATTTTATTAGTCACATTGTGTACACGATTTATTCATCCATATTCTCCTTATAAGTTGTGAGAATAGAAACTTATTCTTTAAAACAAGCTGTCTTGAAGCAGATTTCAGTGGATGTACTCTATAAGTGTTAGTACCTAAGCTAAGAACTGTGCTAAGTATGGAGAGGTAAGAAGAAAACACATTCTCTGCCCTTGAGGAAGCTGTAGTCTTACTTGGGGAGGAGCTTATAAAATTATAATTTTAAAGTACTTATAAGGTAGTACATATAAAATAAGATATTTAATGTGAATTTTGCATTTTAAAGACTAATACAGAAAATGTTTTATACTGTACAAATCTCTCCTATTAACTACGGCAGCCTAAAATGCCTAATTAATTGTTTCATTCTGATTTCTGATGGTTTTTTTACTTTGAAGGTTCAGCAGTTTTCTGAAAAATCCTTCTTCTTAAACCTTTTGAAAACTCATGAAAATGCTTTAGAAAGACAATTCAGTGAAATTACAAATGAAAGGAATATGCTTCTCCAAACCTTTGTAAGTCTCCAGTCACTTAGAAAAATCTATTTTATTAACTGTGTCAAAAGTATTCAGATATACTTAGGTGTACTTTTAGAAAATTAACCATATGCATATTGGCAGATAGTACTTTTCAGATACAGAAAAGTAATACGTGCTATTTAAAACCAATTGGTAGAATAATATAGTTTGAAAGAATTCTACTGGCAGGGATGCAATATAGAAATTATTTGCAATTGTAATAAGCACAAAAGAAATAGTGAAACTGACTTGAATTGCTCAGACTTTAAGACCTTGATTTTAATGTTTCTGAAAGGAAGAGAGGTTCACACTTTAGGCATATTTATGGATGTGAGTAAAAGCATGGATTTTGTTTACCTTTTTATCTTAGTCAGAGCCAACAGTCTGAGCAATAGTTTTGAATGACAGGGCCAGTTTAGAAATATTAATTGACATTTTAAAGAAAATACATTTAAAGATATTGAAATACATATCAAAAGTCAGAATCAACAGATTGGGTGATTTTGAATGACATGGCCAGTTTCAAAATATGGCTCAAAATTCATTGACATCTCTTAGAAAAAATAGAAACATACAATAATATTTAGGTTCAAGCATTGTCCATAGTTTTGGAAATTCTTATTCCATGTCATGTTGATATTTCATAAAATGTAAACTGTCACTCAGAACTGATTTTGAAATGCATATATAATTTTACCTTCATTGTCTATATTTTAAAAGGTCTTCTTAGATATCCTTATTTGTTTGTTTGTTTCCTGTAAAGTGGTAATTCCTTTGAGTGTAGATTTTAGTTTTTAAGTTTGGCCTCTTAATTATTTTACCATCTAATTTTATATTGTAATGACAAAATGGCATATATGATTATGAAGTTTAATATACAAATAAACATAGATATAATGATGATTGGTAGGATTTCTAGCTCAATAATTCTCCCAAAGCTTTAAGGATATATCTTACATCTGAAGATAGTTGCTTGTTAATATATAATAGCTTCAGGGTTTTTTCATATTACTAGAAGAAAAAAGCATTTTTCCAGTAATATCAGGAAGTATAATTTTATACTTTCATTGTTAATAATTCCAAATGGTTATATTTTGAATCATTAAAGAAAAATATTATTGCAACTAACACCTATATTTCATCTTTTCTGTTTTTCAGGAGGCTACAAAGAAAAAAGTAATGGAGGAGGAGGAAAAATTTATGAAAGAAATTACAGACTTCAATAATGAGTATGAAATAACAAAGAAAAGAGAACTTTTGATGAAAGAAAATGTCAAGATTGAAATATCTAACTTAGAAAACCAGGCAAACATTTTGAAAATGGGTATGAGTACATAGTAACACCTCATTTGTCTTGCATTAATGAAATAACTTATTTTGAATGAATCAGTTTTTTAGAAATTTAACTTTTTCATAAGCAAACTGGATTATTATATATCTATCCATTTACTTTTATCTTATTTATCCTAATGGATATGTATCTTTTATTGCGAGCAGTCTTAAATGCGTTAGAAGTACATGTGGAATGAGCATTTGGTCATTCATTCAGTAAACAAATACCTGTCATGTGATGGCCACTGGTCTAGGTCCTGGGGATATAAAAGTAAAAAGTGGAGGAATTAAATCTGTAAGCAGATATTTATAGTACAATGTGATGGAAACTACAATATGTGTTAGGACTGGTGCTAGAATCCTCATTTTACCATCAATCCAATATAAGCTAGGACATAAGGTTACACAGTGAGATGGTGAGAGTTTTATTTCAGAAACACTAGTAGGTGGATTATTGTAATCTATGATAAGATTCTGAATTAAAGCAGTTGCCAAAGAGAGGAGGGGGTGAATTAAAGAGATGTTTAGGAAGAATGATAGGACTTTGCTGCTATTTAATGTGGACAGAAATAGGAAAGTCAAGGATAAATCAGTTTTCAAACTTCAGAGATTCTATTATAGCATTAGCTTAAAATTCAGTATATTTTCACCTAAATCAGGTTCAGTTGCAAATGACATTCCTTAATTGTAGTTCCTTATGTAACTCCTTCAGTACCATTCCTCTTTTTTTTTTTTTTTTGAGACAGAGTCTCCCTTTGTTGCCCACCCAGGCTAGAGTGAGTGCCTTGGCGTCAGCCTAGCTCACAGCAACCTCAAACTCCTGGGCTCAAGCGATCCTACTGCCTCAGCCTCCCGAGTAGTTGGGACTACAGGCAAGTGCCACCATCCCCAGCTAATTTTTTCTATATATATTAGTTGGCCAATTAATTTCTTTCTATTTATAGTAGAGATGGGGGTCTCGCTTTTGCTCAGGCTGGTTTCGAACTCCTGACCTGGAGCAATCCGCCCGCCTCAGCCTCCCAGAGTGCTAAGATTACCGGCCACGCCCCGCCAGTAACATTCCTCTTTATCTGAAGGCCTCAGATTCAAGAAACTAGCTATTTGCCCCTCACATGCCCAGCGTACTGTGGTGAGATAAGCATAAGATAATCACTAGAGACACTTCTGTTCAGAAAGCAGAAACACAGGAGTCATTGTTCAATAGCAATTCTGAAATTGAGCCAGCCAGATATTGGGAATTCCTTGATAAGACTCAGTCATCCTCCTTGTTGGGAATGATGATCCATTGTTCTTGGTTCTACCCTCTGTGCTTTTGTTTTCCTTCTCTGAGTCATTCCTTTTTTGTAAAAGCTAGCTTGTGTTCACGGGTGCTGGTTTTCTCAGCCTCATTTCATCCTCTAAAAGTTTGAGTATTTGGGGGCTCATTTTTTAGTTTTTTCCTGTTTCTGTCCATTTCAGTCCAAGCTCACTGAGTTTATGCAAATATAATTCTCTTAAAAAATGTGTAGGTCTCACATGAATCTTATTGAGGTTCATTCTGTTAAGGAAAAACCTACAACTACAAAGCCCTTTGAGATAAACCATTTTATTCTTTGGGCTGCTTCTAAAACTACTGAGAGACAGTATCTTTAAGATTCTTAATGGCCCTGTGGTTTGACTGAGTGGTTCTCTTAGGCATCACCTTGGATTTTTTTAAGGTCTTTGAAAAGGGTTTTAAATTTACATTCTAGATTTTATATTTAGACTTTGACTTCTTAAGAATATTGGATTTTATCTTTGCCCTCACACTATTTCTTAGTGCTGAGAATCAGGGGGAGGGCATCTTGTAGAAAAACTACCAAAAATATTTATTTTAATTCCTAGAACAACCATTAAGGAAAAAAAGCAAAGATGAATAGCTAAAAGGACAATATAGAAATTGAAAAGAAATCCTAAAAAATATTTACATAATCTGAAAAAAAGGAGGGGAGGAACAGAGGAGCAAAAACAGACAGAAAACAAATAATAAAATGGTAGACCTAAATCCATCTACAGTCACATGTCGCTTAACTACAGGGATACATCCTAGAAATACATTGTTAGATGATTTCATCATTGTGCAAACTTCATAGAGTGCATTTACACAAACCTAGATGTTGTAGCCCACTACACACCTAGGCTATATGGAAGAGCCTATTGTTCCCAGGCTACAGACTGATACAGCATGTCACTGTACTGAATACTGTAGGCAATTAGAATACAATGGTAAGTATCCATCTCTCTAAACATATCCAAACATAGAAAAGACACAGTTAAAAAAAAATACAGCATAAAAGATAAAAAATGGTACACCCATTAAGGCACTTACCATGAATGGAGCTTACAGGACTGGAAATTGCTCTGGGTGAGTCAGTGAGTGAGTGGTCAGTGAATATGAAGGCCTAGGACATGACTGCACTAATGTAGACTTTATAAACACTGTACACTTAGGCTACACTAACTTTATAAAAAATATTTTTCTTTCCTCAACAATAAATTAACCTTATTAAGTTAAGCTTGCTGTAACTTTTTACTTCATAAACTTTTTAATTTTTTAAAACTTTTTGATTTTTTTAAATAATAAAACACAAATGTTGTACAGCTATACAAAGATACTTTTTCTTTATGTCCTTATTCTGTAAGCTATAAGGTTTTCTGTATTTTTAAGTTTATTTATTTTACTTTTTAAACTTTTTTGTTAAAAACCAAGTCATAAACATATACATTATCCTAGGCCTACCCAGAGTCAGCATCATGAATATCACTGTCATCCACCTCCACGTTTTATCCTACTGGAAGGTCTTAGGGTTAGTAACACACTTGGAACTGTCATCTGTGATAACAATGCCTTCTTATATGGAAATGCAAATGACTTAGAATAGCCAAAACAATTTTTAAAAGAAAAAATTTAAAGGTTTATACTCCTTGATTTCAAAATTTACTAAAAAGCTATAGTAATCAGGATAATGCATCACTGACTTTAAAAATAGGTACATAGATCGCTGGAACAGTAAAGAGTACAGACAGAAATGCATGCAGTCAACTGTATTCAACAAAGATGGTGAGGCAGTTCAGTGGGGAAAGGAATGGCTTTTCAACAAATGGTGCTGAGACAGTGAGACATTCATTGCAAAACAATGATTCTTAAGCCCTACTTCACACCATATTAAAAACAACTCAAAATAGACATATACCTAAACATGAAATCTGTAATTATGAATCTTCCAGAAGAAAACATAGTAGAAAATCTTTGCCATCTTAGATTAGGCAATGATTTCTTAGATGGAACACAAGAAACATGAACTGTGAAAGACAAGGGACACTGGATCTAAAATAAATTGAAAAGACACTCAAGACAAACCGTAGCTTGGAGAAAATATTTATAATAAATATATCTTCTGATGGACTGTTATCCAGAATGTAATAAACTCTAAAAACTTAAAAAGGGAACGAAGCTAATTATAAAAGGGAGAAAATATTTGGACTTCATATGAGAGTACTAATGATCAATGACATGTGAAAAGATATTCAATGTCATTAGTCATTAGAAAAATGAAAATTAAAGCAACAGTGAAATTTCACTGTGTATTTATTTATTTAAAGTTAAAAATACTGACCATACCAAGTATTGCCAAGAATATGGGGCATCTGAAACTCACATGTAGTGATGGGAATTTGAAATGAATGGTATAATCACTTTAAAAAATTGTTTTGCAGTTTTTTAAAAAACTAAACATAAATTTACCATATAACCCAGGCACTCCACAACTGGTTACTCCAGAGAAATCAAACCCAACCCATGCTTTAAATTTTTGGCAGTTTTATTCACAATACCAAAACCTAAACATAAATGTCTATTAAGAGGAGAATGGATAAACAAAATTGATATGTCCATGCAGTAGAATACTCAGCAATAGAAATGACAGATCTGCTGCCACAGCATGGATGAATCTCTGATACGGTGAGTGAAAGAAGCTAGACACAATGCAAACCAATTGTGGTGACAAGAAGCAGAGCAATGGTTGCTCGGGTCAAAGTGGAGGAACTGTGAAGGGTTCACAAGGAATCTTTGGGGATTGATGGAAATACATGGATTAATGCTTGTGGTGGTAGTTTCACAGATGTAAATGACTGGCAAAACTCATAGAATTGTATGCTCTAGATGGATATACTTCACATAAATTTTTCCTCTATAAATCTGGTAAAGGAAAAAAGTTCCTGATATCACAGATACTATAGGAACCCTCTACTTTGTGTCCCCTTTTCCAGAAATATGGGTTTATTTTAATAGCTTTGCTTCCAGGGAATCTGGTACTGTTGGTTCTTCATACTTTCAGAAAGTCTGTCTCTGTCTCTAAAATTTCATAATATTTCCATACAAAACTTTAGTCTCCATAATGGAAGAGACTTGTTTTGCTTAATGTTCCATCCCCAACAGTGTAAATGAAATAATAATAAGTTGATGACTGCTTCACAAGGAGAAGCACAAGATGATATGAGAACATGTAATAAGTGGACCTAACCTGGACTAGATAGTTAAGGAAGATTTCCCTGAGCAAGTGAGATCTGAAGTATGTTAGCCAGATGAGAGATTTGAGTATAGATGTCAGTTAGGTAATTGCATATTTTTTTTTTTTTTTTGAGACAGAGTCTCACTTTGTTGCCTAGGCTAGAGTGAGGGCCGTGGCGTCAGCCTAGCTCTCAGCAACCTCAGACTCCTGGGCTCAAGCGATCCTTCTGTCTCAGCCTCCCAAGTAGCTGGGACTACAGGCATGCGCCACCATGCCCGGCTAATTTTTTCTATATATATTAGTTGGCCAATTAGTTTCTTTCTATTTATAGTAGAGACGGGGTCTCGCTCTTGCTCAGGCTGGTTTTGAACTCCCGACCTCGAGCAATCTGCCCGCCTCGGCCTCCCAGAGAGCTAGGATTACAGGCGTGAGCCACCGCGCCCGGCCGATAATTGCATATTTA